AATATAATAATAATGATAATAATTAATATAATAATATTATAATTTGAGTATATTTGCTAGCTTTATTCTACCATCCACTGCGTTAGCTACGGTGGGTAATATTATCTTATGATATTTTTAAATGGTGTTGAAGAAGTAACCGTAGCATAGTTATCTGCTTTGTCAAATAATTGCCAGTCAAAGCTGTTCGTAAAGTCGTGGTTCATCGTATCGGATTTATGTACATTAAAAATCATCTGAGATGATAATTAGTCCGTTGAATCTTGGTCAGTAGTGAACGTCATCTCACATCAAAGTAACTCAGGCAACCTGCGAACGAGAATATTTTGCTCTTTGCTTGTTCAGAAAGCTTGCTTTTCCAAAATACGGGATATAACATAGCTGCAGCTAACAGTATACTGGTTAACTTAGACTGGTTGTCTAAATACAGGCCCTTTCAAAAGGTCTTTCCAGTTTCTCTCAGGTTTGTTATTTGTCATTCTTGTCACTACCCAGCGGTTACTTGTGCGATCTTGCGGATAGAAAAAGCGGGATAGTCAAGATTCACTGGCGAACACAGATTTGCTGACGAATTATCTCACCGAAAGTTAAGACACAGTACCAACAGTATGTACTTTTGCCACTGTGGAACTGGTTTTTGATGCCTAGCAGCTCTATCTGCTACTATATTATTTGAAGCAAACCTCAATTTGACTAGACCCCAGCAACTGGGACAAAGTGCTAGCAATCACATACTGAATTACACTGTATGAAATACTTGTGGGACCACTCGATTTTTTGTCTGGATGCACTTAACATCATCATACAATGAAAGTAAACCTGAATGCAAACTTCGTCCAGTTTGACGTGTTCCTTGTTCAAATCCATGTAACTACCGGTAAAATTTGACGGAAGGGCGTCGCAATGTTTACGTGTTTTAGTGCGAGAAATTTTAGTTTAGAGAGAAATTTCTGTGAGTTCCTTGACCTCAAATTTAAAGGCACAACCTTTTGCATTCATTGCGTTGTAGTTGCCTCCAAATAAATACTCAAGGAAGCTGGGTGTTTAAGGCGCGATCCCTGCTACCGTCCAGGCTTGGGCAACCTGGCAGTATCTTGCTCCGGGCGCCTCCATGGAGCTGCATGGCAGCTAGACACCAAAAGAGTGTTACGGCCTAACGGCTATCCATTATTAATATTTTTATATACTTATCTCCAAACTTCTCTGAGTTGTGGTCTGTCCCTGCTAGACCCATATCCGCGTCATTTGATAAATGTTTGTCAGATTCAGATGGGCGAGTTTGCAGCATATTTGCTCACAATAATCCAGTTAAGTTGAAATGCCTTTAAATTGGACATTTGAGTGAAATATGGTGTTTCCTTCACTAATACGCAATCCAATCGTAAGGCTTTACATATTTTCAAATGAACAAAGTTACTTTGCACTATCTATTTCCTTCCCACCAAGGATTTAGTCTCTAATTACCTGCTTCACTTCGAAGCAGGATATTTGGTAAAGGATTCATTCTTCAGAATTTGCTCTGATGATAAATGAGGCAAAATCCGTGCACACCTGGAGAACTATTATTTGACAGAAAATCCAACAATAACATCTTAGTTAAAAACCCTGAAATTCTGCTTAAAATCATCAACTGTTTTTATTAAGTCTTATTAAGTCTTCTGTAGATTCCGACAGAAGCTACTTCACAGGCTTGACACCCCTGCAAATGTACACAATCATTTGATATTTGTTCTTGTATTGATATAGTATCGACAGGCAGGGGCCTGACAAGGATTTTTTAACCATTCTGTGCCACTGCATCATTAATGGCAATTAACTGTCGGAATTAATTACTTTCTTGTTGTGTTTTGCTGTTTATAGCAAGTTGAATAGCCTTTTGATTAGAAGCACACTTGAAAAATAACACCTTACAAGATCAGGTTGACTTAAAATATTGCAGCAGATTGTGCGTAGTTTGGACAGTGACAACAACATTAATCTGAATCCAAGAACCAACAAACAGCGATCCATGAATTAACTCATTAGAGATCCTGCAGTGAATAGATTTTGTACCCAAAGCAAGAACAACTCGTACGAGGTAAGGTGTACATCGATCCATATTGGATAATGTCAGTGATTGACCCACACTCACTTCATTTCCTTCTCTAAATTATCACAAAAGTAACAAATCATCGAACATTTTGACTGCAATGTTGATAAACACAAGGCAGTGACAGCTGCGCAGTAAAAATCAACTTTTAGATGTAAATGGCATGTTGAAATCGAGTTCAAAATAGCAGGCGGGAAAATCCACCTACTAACCTATGGACGCCGGGGAGAAGGTTTATATGTTTTCAATCGTTTGGAAGTAGATGGATGTTGGCGTGTCATCGCAGTTGACATGTCATGGGCGTTTTCAAACAACTGTCACTTGTAAAAAATACCGACGATGCTACGAAATGAAAACCACGTTAAGTCGTTGGTAGTATTCTGCTGGTAGTTTTCGCTGGTAGTTTTCTGCTCGCAAACAATCTGTATTCCCTTATTTTTTCTTAGATTTAAGCCAATTCAATGGCGAGAAAGCTCTTCCAGAAGCAATAAATTCGATTGCGTTTAGCTATTGCATTCATACGAATAAGTTTGCCACTGGTTAAGGGCCGGGTTGAGCAGTTTTTGGGTAATTAGCACGATAGACTTATGAAAACTTCGTCAAACTGATTTATACTCTTTTTGACGTTTATTTCACGTCTAAAAATGAATATATTTCTTTTGTTGCTGACTCGTACTTTATTAAAAGTTTATTCTAGTTTGTATGCACAAGAGTTTAAATCTGCAACTTTAAGTAACCGTTAGAATCGATTAAATTGTGTTATAGAACGAGCGTATCACAAGTAAAGTCTGCAGACCTATGTAGCTTTCATTCGCAGTGGACTATAATTTGCGCTAGTGCTTTAACACTGCGTGTTGCCTAGGTGCAAGAAAAACTGAGGAAAGTGTGGTTTTCTTGAATGCACTCAAAGGCAGGTAATCTGCTCGCAGAAAATTGTTTTGGTTATGATGTCTGCTCACAACAGTTTAATGTACAGTTTGTCCAAATTACTTTTTCGCGATTCGAAACCGATGAGCGCCCATCACTTCTAGACAAACATTCGGAAGCCCACCGAGCAATCGTTTAGTTTTATAGATAAAAGAATAAATTTTATGGTCTTTTCAGTTGGTTGACGTCAGGCAAACGGTTGTATAGTAGTGAATGTGCAAAACCACAGTGGCAATTTTCCACATATCCGTCCGACTTAGTCAGGTTCTATCAGTTCTGACATACTCAAGTCATTACGGATCGTACTATGATTAAAAGAGATGCTTTGATGTCGTAATCAGTTACTTCAGACACCCTCCGTCACGTAACTGATGATCGAGTGATCGCCACCTTTACTCGTTTCTGTGTGTCATACATGAATTATTCGAACTCCTGAAACATCAGTGTTTATAAAATTGCGCGCTGAGTCCAAGGTGCTGTGGTAAGCCAGTATTAGAATTTCAATCAGCTAAGTGATTGAATTTGAGTACCAACAACGCTTCGTATTCTTTCATCCAAATGGCCATCTTATTATATGATAGATCAGAGGTACATTTACGGAGGTCTTGAGATAGCCTCACTTGGAAACGGTCGTTGAAAAACTGTGAACGCTACACTTTCCATATGTCGCATTCGACATAATTTGAGAGTGTGATCTTGCATTAAGAGATTATTCAGTGGTAGGAGCTAAATTGTCGGCATGCTCATTGACCAAACAAGATTAATGAGCCGTCATTACTCCACATTGTCGCTTTGCTTATATCTGTAAAATTTTTGTCAAACAGTTTGCATGCGCCAGGTGATCAGTTTTCTCGGTAACTTGATGCCGTTCGTTGTTACATACCACATTATTTCAAAGACGTGCTAGGATTTGCAGGTAACCTGCGCGCAATATTTATACATGGTCGGCGAAACAGGCGCTAGTCCTAACACAATTTTCCCAAAGTAAAAATGAAGCCCAACTAGGAAACCTAACTCGCCTTTAGTGACAAATCTGTATTACTTCATTCTAGTCCACGAGTTTCCCTGAGAAAGAATACTCACCTTTACTAGACAGGAAAATTATGCAACTGTTTTGCTTCAAAATGAATCTCCGTGTCCATAAAATGGGAAATTTATGGAGCTGAATCTAGCCTACCAAAACCGAAAATAAGAACCCTGATTTACCAATATTTTCGTCATTACAACCACAGTCATATTTAAACTTACCATGTTACCAACCCTAACAGAACTGTGACCGTCCGTTTATGGATCCAGAGAGCTGACACAGGGATTTACGCAGATCCCCCTCAAGCGATGAAAGAATGCAATCAGAACGTATCATTAAACTTATACTTCCCTATAGCCGAGTGCGTATAAAAACCTAAACCTGGTTAGAGACCCGTGAAACATTTCTTTATTTAATTTGCTCCATAATAACAGTTGTCAACTGTTTGTTCAAATGTCATGACAAAATAAAATTGTAATGGATATGTGTCCCACATAGCTAGCTATCAAATCAAATAGGAGGAAAAGAAAACGTTCAAGGACGTACCTCCTCCTTGTTTCAGATAAAGAGCTTTGCGTATTGCTCGTATCCAAGTTTTCCTCTCTCGCGGTGTAGCAGCAGAAAGAACCATCTGTTGGTGACCGGGCGAAATTGTCTCCGAAGTCACTGTTTCAGATTAGAAGAATTGAATACGCTTGAGTTGAGATATATTCATGTTCCAACATTTGACAGATTAAATGCTTGTGACAGTCGTTACATCTTGGACTTCGCCCAAAATTGATCAATTGGTTCTGCAGGATACAGGTGATATTATTTGACAAACACATATTTGTGTGTACCTCAGAATTATTTGCACATAGACGAAGGGACACATTTTGGGATGTGTTTTGGTTGCGTTCCGAAAATTGCCACTATCAAACCAATCTGAGTAGCTTAACTTTCAGGTCTAGTTAGCTGAATACACTCGTTTGCAAACAAATTTGGTTTTGTGAGAGACTTACCTGGATCCAGTGGTATCTCTGGTTTATGATGTTCGCTACCAACCGAACGTGTTACATCAGGCCACCTCATGTTTCATTTAGCACGATGTCCAAGATATCGCAATGCATGCATAGACGTAATACACTACTCATTAGGTTGCTGGAAATTCTGGACAGCCCACCATCGGTTTCGCCCATCTTGGACCTCATCAGTTAGGCGCAGTCCCCAAGTTTCCGTGAACCGTATGTTCCACTTGAACCCGAACCGCACGGAGTTAGCAAAACACACTCATTTGAAGCCAAATTTGGCTTTGCGAGAGACTCACCTAGAACCCCGTTGAATCTATCTTTTATGATGTTCCTAGTTGTTTTTTGAAACATAATTAAACCCATCCCGTTGTATTGGATGTGCTTTGGCAGACAGTACTGACGGTTAGCGGATGTTTTACGTATTTCGGTTCAAGTCACACCGGACGCTATTCTTCAGGCGGAAAGCGAATCGACTAGTTGTGTGCCTAAAACACTATATCAGCGCCCTTGGAGGAAAACACCGGGCTTTACCTACATGTCAGCTTGTTTACTACGATTGTGCTGTTGCACGGCACCAAGATTGGACATTGTTCTCGCATTAACCTACAATACTTTCGATACCAAGAGAGAGGAAAAATGGAAATATAGCTGTTTTTCACGATGACCCAAAATTACAAGTAACGGTGAGACAAGGCTTCATTTCGCACACTGAGCAGGCACTATCAACACGTGCTCTTACGAAAACAAGCAAGCTTTGGTGTTGCAATGCGGTGATCAGTATATCTCACGACACTAAGGGCTTATTTTTAGTGATGTAAAGAATATCTGCAGATCAGCGAGCTGTGGGGCATGTAATTGTACCGAATGCGTAAGGGCGCAATTCACACAATGTGAGTGAAATCGACCGGCCCCATGAAATCGTTTTTGACTCTGCATGTTAAGCCACTAAGGCAACCGAAACATATAATCGAACTAACATGGGTCATTTAGTCAAATGAAAAGGAAAACGACTGCATAGAAGCCAACCCGCCAACCCCCGTAACATTTGGAAAATGTACATAAGTGCAGAATAGTTGGCGGCTTTCTTCAGACTTTCTTTTTGAGATTGGTTTGTACTGAGCGAGTAAAAAACGCTAGCTTCTTTACTGCCAGACTTGTCACATCTTGCAAATTTTTAAGAATTATGATTTGTGTTTACAAACTGTGCCCATCGCCCATGAGCAGTTAATCTAAAGTGGAACTGCCGGCATTCTGAAGGAACGAACAAATGATTATCTATCAGAATTTAACAGTTATGCGTATTTCTGTGCTAAAGTGTTCACATTTTGGTGCATCTGAATATGTGTAATCGTCGTAGGTGCGTTATCAGTGTTCACTGTGTGCACACAATTCGATTCATCTCATGTAGACAAACGTCTCACGCTTTGACTTCTCAGGATCGTGTGACTTGTCAGTCTACATAGGGGTATAGCTAGCAAAGAACTTTGAGTTTATTGCAGTTTCATTCTTCAGGTGAGGTCAAACGCCTCGCTTCACAACGTTTTCAGCTGCCACATCTTATCAATGGATATCGCGCAGAAAAATTCATCCATTATCGTGAGAAAGTTAGCTTTTGGGACCTAACTTTGGCTGCGTAAATTCCGCACGAACTGTGGTCCCTGAAAATGGCTTGGTGGAAATAGAATATTTTCGTGATTGAATTAAGACAGGTTGTGGCCACACATTAGTTTCACCAAGCGATCCTAATTAGACAGATATATAACCCTGGCCTGAAACGACAGCACACGCTTCAACTTTGTTCGTGAAACTTGGTTCAACGTTTGATACTCCCATGACTGCAAACTGTTTTGAAAACAGCGCTCAAAAATACATGCAAATCCGCGAGTTCAACAGCGGAAGTTGGAATATTGTCAACCAACTAGACTACATATGATCAGAGGGATTTCCGGTTGGAGGCAGATTATTATGATCAGCTTGATTTTCAGACGAGCCGTCACGTGACAACGCATATTGACAAAACCGTATCGAATTTTCGGGAATAGATATGTTATGATTGGAATTAAACTGACATCAAGCTTCGGTGTCAATTTTCTGGAAATTCTGTATCCAAAATCAAACTTGTGAATTAGTTTACACAGTCTGTATTGCATAAAATGGTTTTTAGCTACTAAGATCAAGTAAAATTCGAAGGCCAAAAACATTATTTTGTTTCATTACTACATCTCAGGGTAAAGCTAACAGTAGGTTTTCTCAAGGAACTCACGCATTTTCTCGATCAGGGATTTTCAGTGCGTAATGAGGTTCCTGCACATTATTTGATCAAAAACTGATTGCTTCCGGTAACAAAAATGAAATGACCAGAAGAAAAATCCTTTTGGTCGCTCACTTGGTTGGACAGACATTCAAATCTGTTACCAAAGAAATGCACTGAAATTGAAACTTTCTTTTTGAAAAAAAACCTCTTTTTTGTTAAGATGTTTAGTTTTCTTAACGCTCTGAGAAGAAAATCCTAATTCAAAACGTGAAGGAAGCTTTCCTTAAATGGTGAACTTCATTTCCTTGTTCAAAAAAAATTAGGCACTAGAAATACCTCCAGGAACTAAATGCCTGTTTATTGCATCACACTTTTCAAAGCAGCAAAAACACTTCTCGCAGGTTTTTGTCTCAGTACCTAGTATACGAGATACTAAAAAATCCTTCTGACCTACTGTTTATCTTTTTCCTTAGACATACGATTTTTACGCCGCAGAAGCAGCTAGATTTGATATAGCACTTTTTCTGTGGTCAAAATATATGGCATTAGAATATCGTTGTATATACAGCAACCCTGGTCGTGCACATCTCATGATGCCCGTCTATACTAAGGGGAACATATTGCCGTTTTCACACTTCTCCAATGACAAGATGCCAACAGATAATTTCGTATTATAATTTTGGTATAAATGCCTGCTGTGTGCTTCTAACTGGTGCAACTATGCCAGTACGACTGTACTTATTCTTCGTTCCACATATGCTGCATAAGACACTTAGTGATTGAACTGATGGACGCCGCCTGTCATCAGCCCCAAATAACTACGGCCAAAGGCGTGGGGTACATGGATCTGTAAATCTCAGGCAGGCGGAGCGATTAGATGGAGCAGTCTCTACCTTCTGGCGATAGGTCAAACATGCAGTGGTGGGCCGCGGTCATCTGTGGTGAATGCCAAGACAAATGCTTCGGCTAAACAAAAAAATATTGTTTCTAGGCAGTTACACACTATTGCCCGCAAAAAGGGCTGCTTTCGAAATGTATATTAATAGGGACTCAGTCATTTTGGCAGGACGGTAGCCCAACCACCACAATACTAGTCAATTTCCTACAATATATATACATATATATATATTTGTGGGTAGTGTGAGGAGATTTGGGATATTTTGTGTGGGATTTTGTCCTGTAAGTGAAGCCAATCTATGCTGAAAAGCCGAGAAGCACTGTACAGCTGTTTCATCCTTATTGGGAATCATCAGCAGTGCGCATCTCACGAAACTCCGGAGAGTCTCGAACCCGCGACCACCTGGCTAGTAGTTTGAATACTTAATCATTCGGCCACGAGCGCTGATCAGCCGTGTGGTTAACTCGCACTTAGACAGGATATATCGCCGCTCATCCTTCAATCACGGGATCCACATCACGCGGTCACACGTGTTGACTGGCTCCTCGAGCAACGACTTCCTCGACCCTGTGAGACAGTGAATTCTGCTTCCACCTCAATATCTACTGCTATGCTTTTAACGTAGATACGATATCATCACCCTCAAGATAAGGCAGGTGCATTTGGATCTCAATTCACTTACAGGACGAAATTTCCACACAACTCTCAAATCTCCTCACACTACCAATAAATGGGATCAAAACGCAATTCCAATCCCAGGTTGACCAACCTAATCACTCGAAATCTACTTTCGACCATCAAGCAATTTCAAAAACCACATAAACGCAGGCAGAAAAAGAGGAAATTATCCAATCATACTCGCACTGTGGCGATGTAACCTTTGCAACCCAACTGCTGATCTCGGCGAACAGGCCAACCACATCTAAGGAACACACCTCAACCAACTACGTTCCGTAAAATTGCCAATCAGTATGCATTTTTGTCAGCTGCAGGTACTTCGTCATAGTCAACAATTGACTCGAAAAACATCCTACGGGACATTTTTGTCCGCTGATTGAGACCAAAACAGTAGGCTCTGTTTTCAGGTATATCACGAGGTAATGTTTTCCCGATAGATTTCAACAGATCTTCAATTTCGAAATCCCCCATACCACCGTCAGTCTATAAGCAGCTCAGGAGAAAGGTAATCCCATAAGATATTTGGAACTTCCATTTGAGAACTTTCACTCAAGATGCCAGTCTACGTAATGTGGTTTTCCTAAATGGAGGATGAGTGACTCTCTATCCTGTCCAAGTAAGAGCTAATCACCTTGCTAATTAACCACTGGTGACCGTTCCAATATTTAGCCGGGAGGTCGCAGTCACGAAAGTCCCTTGAGTTTGGAGAGTTGCGCACGGCTGTTTATTCAAAACAAAGATGAAAGAGCTGTACAGTGCTTCTAGGCTTTCCAGCCTAAGCTGAGTCCACTTACGAGATAAAATTCCATAGAAAAGAGCACTGGACACCTATTTGGGGCCAAACATGACACTATCGTCCATAATCAATCTGAGGCAGAATACTGACGCCTGTAAAGTCTGTAATCCGTTG